CTTGCACACTTGCTCTCAGGTTGTTTTTTTGGATAATCTAGCAGCCATTTTAGCTAGTCGGTCCATAAGCACTCCATTAGCTCGATGGCACTTTTCCCCCAATCATCATTTCCCACTTATCTAATAGCGTGAGAAGAATTGTCTGGTTTGCTGTGCCCTTTTCCAGAGTGACTGTTTTCATCATGATGTACATGATTGGTTTATGCGATGTCGGGTTAATTTAAATAACGAGGAATTTGGAGATGGTTGATTGAATATTGTTGTGAACAATGGGGAGCCTTGGGGTCAAAAAGGCTGAGAACCACTGTTATAGACTAACGCTCATTCTGCCCTAAAAAGTAAGATTTTGTGTTTCAGAAAAAAACTGTATTTGCCTTATTTATGAATTGATTTTCTAATTGAGGACGTCTCCGATTGTCCCGAAAAGGAGGTTTTGTCAGATTTAGCTCTTTTTTTGGGGACAATTTTGTACACAGCATACTTGATCTTATTAATGGTCTTTATTAATGCATCTTTAAGACATACATGCTCTTATTTCATCAGTATGGTGCATGTTTGCCCTCCCTGTAATGAGTCAGACTGTGTCTAGCGTTGAGTGAAGCAATCCTCGAGCATTGAGCTCTCACACACATTGACGTTATGTAATTCAGTTGGCCTTTTCCAATGATCTGTGATCGGTAGCAGCTGAGAGGAGGATTAGAGTGTGTCTGGACAACAGCCGGCAGACATGCTGAACAGACTCATGCTTATGAGTGCATGTGTGATCTCACGTATCTGTGCGCGAAAAAGTAGGTTTGGGGGTAGTTTTATTACATTGAGTATGGAAATGAGTGAGATTGAGTGTAGCGTGTCAGTGATTGATTTGACGTTTAAAGTTAGTTCATTTGTGAAATGACTAAAAAAAATTCTACATTTTATATCCAACAATAACGAATCTTATGTTTAAAACATGAGGGGGAAAAAAATTTCAGTGGGATAAGGAAAATAAAGTTCAACATATATACTCTGAAAATAGTCTTGCACAATTTTGCTTGTAAATTTTCTTTTCAATATGAAGGTGAACAACCGTATTACAAATTTAACCATTTTGATTTGGATCAAACTGGTAAATTTTCTTGCTCTATCCATATCCTTATAAATACCAGATGCACTTGGATGTGTGTGTTAAGCATGTTGTAGGAATGTAGCCGGTGACCTTGCTATTGCTGTGTATGAGGTGGTAATAAAGTTTCAGTGACCCGTCCTTTAGCTGTGAGTCAGTTCGCTTCACACTAAAAGGACAAATCAAGCAATACGACTGTAGTTGTGTTGTCTCTGGAGTGGAGTGTACTGGCTCTCCTGTTAGTTTACAACAATATGAAGATGTTTAAACAACTTATCTAATAACAAGACACAGAAAATTACATTTTATTGATTACTGAGGGAAAAAAATCAATGCAACGCTATAAGATTAGAACTTTCTTTAGTAACAATTACTGCACTTATTTTGGCAGAACTGTTGTGATCCATATTATATAATCATTTAAGTGAGTGAGGCAGTCTACTTTTCAGAGCTTTTCACACTTGAGATTGTTAATTAAGGGTAATTTTTAACTGTGGATTAATACTTCACACTGTTATACCTTATCCAGGTTTAGTACATAATTATGGGTAGTCACTCTAGAGTAGTGTTTCTCAACGGGGGCAATCAGAGAGCATCGGGGGGCGCTGGAAGCAATATTTTTGAAGGGGGGGGGGGGGGGGGGGTTGGTCTGGATTGATTGGGGAAAAGAAGCTTAGGCGAACAAAAAGAAAAAAATGGGAAAACTCGACAAAAAAGGAAAACCAATAAATGTTTTTAACAAACCCTTGAGGCATTTTCTTTTTTCTACATGAAACTCTTTCACTCAATGACTGCACAAGATTACTCTGATATTAACCAAATTTGGTCATATACTAATATTCAGCTGTCCATAATGTAAATGCCAATGTAAACTTATTAACCTAAGCCAAAATATTGGTTACTAGAAACACAAATAAGAGTACACTCTTAGAAATAAAGGTTCTTTATTGGCATCTGTGGTTTCACGAAGTGGTTTCCTTTAGCATCCATGAAACCTTTTCAATGCACAAAAGGTTCTTTAGAGTTTATATATTTATTTTAAGAACTGTTCACTGAAAGGTTCTTTGCGGAACTTAAAGAGGTCATATGATGTTGCTAAAAAGAACATTATTTTGTGTATTTGGTGTAATGAAATGTTTATGCAGTTTTAAGGTTCAAAAAACACATTATTTTCCACATACTGTAGATTATTGTTTCTCCTCTATGCCCCGCCTTTCTGAAACGTGTCGATTTTTACAAAGCTCATCGGTCTGAAAAAGCGAAGTGTGCTCTGATTGGCCAGCTATCCAGTGCGTTGTGATTGGCCGAATTCCTCAAGCGTGTGATGGAAATGTTACGTCCCTTACCATACTGTGATGCCTGCAGCAACCACATGTGACGACCCCGGGCTGGACTCCACTTCGTCCACGGTGAAAGCTGATCCGGCAATCCACAGTGTGAAGTTGAAGTATTTCCTCAGCG